CTGCTGCCCACACATCTGCTGCCCACGGGGCGTTTCCACATCACATGGGAAAAACCCACAATTGCTCTAAGTTTGGCATGGACGCCTGGCTCCTTCCAGGGTAGGAGTTGCCCAGATCATTCATGCTGATTCTGCATACACAGACAAGCCCAGAGCACGGCGTGCAAGCGTCTGTTTGTGTGTTTAGAAAGAACTCCTCGGAGGGAGGGCGAATGAGGGATCTTTACTCCAGGAGCCCGCAGAGACTCTGCACGGCCCCTTGCACAGAACAGGAGGCGACCAGCCCTTTGGCGCTCTGCCCTCGCTTCTGGCTGCTCTGCCAGCTGTGCCGCAACGGCCTGCTGGGCACCAGATCAGCACGATGGGAAGGGCGCGAGGAGGGAGGGCAAGGCCTTCCGGCAGCCCCCCTGCCCCCTGCGACTTCCCCCCGAGGTCCACCAGCTGCCTCCCCATTCCTCCGAGGATTTAGACCCCCTGTGACACTCGTCGCTGACAGGTGGTTGGAGCAGCCCAGGACGGCTCAAACTCCACGCAAAGAAAAGCGGGTGCTTCACGGAGACGCCCCTGCTTTGCACGATTCCTTCTGCATCTGCCATGCAGAGGAGCTCGGGCAGAATTCTGCGGTGTGGAGCCCTCCCTCCGGAAACGCTGATGCAGCTGGTGGGGATCCAGGCGGCCTCGCCGACGTACTGGGCCGACGGCACCCGGTTTGCCAGCATGCAGAGCCTCGGGACGGGGCCAGCTTGCCAGCCCGGGCCCCGATGCAATGTGCCTGGGTTCCCTGAGGGCCGCATCCCCTGCCGCTAAGCAGACACCCCTTCCAGCAACCCCGGGCCAACAGCTTTCGCACCCCTGTGCCTCCGCCGGTTTGAAAGGCTGGATCGCTCCTCTAAGATGTTGTAACGCAGGTGGGTATTTCTGCCTGCGTCCCTTTTGCCTTGGGTCCTGTCCACCTCGGGAATGCTCTTCCAAAGTGGGGTTTGGGCATGGTATTTATGATGTTTTAATTTATTGTTGTTAGCCGCCCCGAGGCTTCCGCGAATGGGGCGGCATAAAAATGTTTTAATAAATAAATAAATCCCTGTGCCCAGGCGGGCAGTGGCTGAGCGGAGGGGCCAATGCACACCGCGGCTCTCCAGCGGCCTGCCTGGGGCTGGCGGTCCTCCCCTGGGGCAAGCCGAGGTCGCACCCCTTCCGAGGGGGCACGTGGCCCAGCAGCGTTTAACAGGGCCAGTCTGGCTCAGCCACTGAGATGGCTTTCCAGTTTGGTATACTGGAAAAAGGTCCTGCTCCATGTTATGTTGTTTGTAGTCTGCATTTTTGTGAATCGTCACAAACTGCCCAGAACTGGGTCCTAACAAAAGAAGGAAGAGAGCATCACCACCGTCCGTCCGCGTCTCAGCGGCCCCCCATCCACCCCCCCCGTCCCCCGCTGTCTCTCGTCATGCTGCATTTTGGATGGCAAACCTGTGGCAGGAACTGTCCTCTTGCATTGCTTTGCAAAGCGCCACGGAAGCTGAGGGCCCTTTATTAATAAAGCCGTGCGGAAGGCCCCTCTGGTTCGGGAATCGGGGGAGTGGGAGGCAGGGGATTCCGAGAAGCGGGGCGTTCTGCTCTCCCCCAGAGCGGCGGCTGAGATCCAGCCCCGCAAACGTGCGCTGCGGACTCCGGAGCGGCCCTCCTGGAGGAAGAGGCACAGGGCAGCCGGGTGCTTTCCCATGAAAAGCCGGAGGGGAGGAGCATGGGACTGGAGGGAGTTTGAACAGCAGAAGCTGCCGCGGGGGAGAAAGTCTCTGCTGGAACAGAGGCCGGTGCCAGGAGGGCTGGAGGCAGAGCAGGGCGGCACGTGAGGCCAGGGAGGGCGGCTCACGGGGCCGGGCAACGTGAGCCGGGCCCCTGCAGGATCTCGTCCAGGAAGCCGCATGTGCCGGGCTGGGCCGGGCTGGGCGCCTGCCAAGGCAGTTCTGGCGTGAGTCACGGCGGAGCACGTTGTGCGACCCACACGGCCGGGGAGGCACGTGCATGCGCCTGCCAGCCAGACGGCCCTGGCAGCGGCCGGCCGCCCCCCCCCCCCCCCCGGCTGCTCACGAAGGCAGCGCTTGCCCTGCCCCACCGGGCATCCCGGGGCCCCCTTGCAGCGGCCCCACACGCCTGGCCTCCCGGAACGGGGTTCTGCGCTGGCGCCTCGGGCCGCGAGTAACACAGGCCGAGCCGGGGAAATGGGCTCAGAGCCCACGGCTGACCCACTGCCACCCCCTCAGGGAACGCCTTCGGCCCCGTTCTGTCTTCTGGCCAGCAGCAGGGGCAGCACTCCCGCGCCTTTAACTGCGGCACGCCGGGCTTACGTTCAACAGGTGATGTGTGCCCTGGCACGCAGCATCGCAGGCAGATGAACCATGCCAGAGAACGCAGACCTTGACTCGAGGGCGATCGGGCTCTGTCTCCAAACTACAGTGCCAGCTTCTGCTGCTGCTGTATTTTTCACAGTTTTTCTCCCAGGGAACTCAGGGTGGCAAGCAAGTTCTCCCCATTAAATGCCATGCATAAGGGACAGAATACCCAAGCTTTTAATGATAACAACAACAATAAATTTATCCTTACAACAACCCTGTAAGGTAGGGTTAGGCAGGCTGACAGCAGCTGATTGAAGTTTATTTATTTATTTATTTATTAAAACACTTCTACGCCGCCCCATTCGCCAAAGCCTCGGGGCGGCTCACAACATTAGGTTAAAATACAAGAAATAACAATATAAAATAAGTCGCCCTGGCCAGATAAAATAATCAAATAATATTAACAATTAAAATGACGCTTAAATAAAAAGGTACAATTAAATAAAAAGGTACAAAAACAATTAAAATGACGCTTAAATAAAAAGGTCTTCGCCTGGCGCCAAAGTTCAGAGAGGGAGAGAAAGAGGGACAGACGGACCGGGAAGGGGAGTTGTAGGACCGTGCGCTGGGTTCAAACCTTCATTCGGAAAGTGCATTGTGCTCCCCATGCAGCTGCCTTGCCAATGTTCTGGGCGCGTCATCTGATTCCAAGCAGAGCAGCGTGGCTGCTAACGAGGGCCAGTCCTAGCGAGCAGATCACCCCAGCCCTCAGTGGCTTGGGCCCGGGATCCCTGAGGAGCGCCTGTCTCTGTATGTCCCAACCAGACCCTCAAGATCTTCCATGGACACCCTCCTTTGCGACCCCCCCCAAAAGGGGAGACATGGCAAGGGAAGGGGCTTTTCCTGTTATTGCACCTCAACCCTGGGAAGCGCTTCTCTTCCTGAGGGAGGTGTGATTGGCGCCCTCACTTCTCAGTTTTCATAGGCACGTGAATTATACCATTTTCGTGAATTACACCATTTTTAGTACAATTCACGTTTTCACTCCTTGTTTTTATTGTCATCGGCATCTGTTCTCCTGTATTCATTGATACTTGGCTTTTGATGATGCTTTTGGGCTCACCAGTTTTTAATTTTGTTATGATTTCTCCTGGGATGCCATTGACCATTATCCTTGTGAGCAGCCCAGAGGGCCCTCTGGCTCTGGGCAGCGTGCAAGCGTCACACGCACACACGCAACCACACACACGGGGCCACCCTCTCTTTCTCTCACAGCTTGACAATCAAACCAAGGGAGCTTCGGCCGTTGGGCTGGAAGTCAAGCAAGGAAGCAAACCCATCTCGGCCGCTCCTGCTCGGCTGCGACAATGGACGGCGCGCCCGAGGACCCGGTCGGAAGGGAAGCCCAGTCTTGGGGCGCCCCCTGCTGGCCACCGCGGGAAGCGCAGGAGGCCCCCGTTCAGCCGCGTGCCCCGGGCCCTGCGGGACTCCTGCGTGCCGGCTTCGACCTCCACCCGCGGAAGCCTGCCGCTCAAGGGCGGGGGGCCTTGGCGCGGAAGTGCAATCAAGTGCCCGCCGCCCGGCATTCCCTGGCCTGGAAGGCTGACTAAGATGCCGGTCTCGATGCTAATCAGGGAATTATAGCCCATGCATCTCTCTCGCGCCCAGCGCCTCCGAACGCCCCGGCCTCGGCTCCGGGCTGCAGGGCCTCTCTGACCCCGCAGCGCGGCTCCCCTCCCTCGGCTGCGGGCTGCGGCCTCTGATCCGCCTCCGCGCGGGACACGCGCCGCTCATGCGCCTTCCGATGCTTGGAAGGGGTCCGCCAAAGCCTCCCCGGTGCTCTTTAGTGATCGCGTGTCGGGGCACCTGGGTGCCCGCCCTCCTTCCTCCCTGTCCTTTTTCTTCACTGTCTTTTACGGTTCAATGCTATTTTAAATCAATTTTTAATTTTTGTTCGTTGTTTCATCTGTTATATTTTATTGTCATTATATCATTTGCCAGTTGTTTCATCTATTATATTTTATTGTCATTATATCATTTATTGTCATTATATCATTGCCAGGGCGACTTATTTTATATGCCAGGGCGACTTATTTTATATTGTTATTTCTAATATTTTATGTTGTGAGCGGCCCCGAGGCTTCGGCGAATGGGGCGGCATAGAAATGTTTTAATAAATAAATAAAATAAATTGGTAAACCGATCCAGATCGCTTTGGCTATGGACGGCACGGAAATGTAGTAGTAGCAATAATAATAATAATAATAATAATAATAATAATAATAATAATAAAGTGATGATGGGCGAGGTGCTTGCTTTGAATTTGCCCGCCTCACCAAACGTTCTCTTCATTCATTGGGCAAATTACTGACCTATCCCAGCTTGCGCAGCTTCGCCTTTCCGTCATCCCGGGTGTGGCCACGCCCATTATTTTCGCGTCAGCTAATCATTCGGCTGCGGTAGGGCTCCCTGAAACGGAGGCCACGCCCACTCGACGCAGCCCCGAGTGCAGTCTATTGCCACGCATGCGTAATTACACGAAGGGGCTGGCAGGGCGTCAACTGTAGGTTAGTTCTTACGCACTACACTCCCCAAGATGCCCTTCCATACGCCCAGTTCCCTTCTGCTTCCAGGGTCGCGCCGAGCACGCCGGGAGATGTAGTCTCGTCGCTCCCAGAGGGGCGCTTTCGCGTCCCCCCGCTGCCGCCGCGCCGGGACCGGGTGGGTGAGTGGCGGGGCTCCCTCGCAGCCCCCCGGGGGGTCCTGGGGAGGCAGTTCCGCGCGGCCCCAGCCTGGCGCCTTCCCGATACGCTGCACTGCGGCTCCGAGCACGCCTGACCCTGCTGGCTGCGGATGCTGGGACGCGAGGCTGGGGAGCAGCTGCCTCGGAGCTGCTAAACTGGCGGGGGGCGGGGGGGGCGAGGAGGGCACCCCACCTTCCCCAACCGGGTGCCCGTGCTCCGCCTCGCACCTTGGGCCACGCAGGGACAGGCGTCGCGACCCCGTCCCTCTTCCCGGGCTGCTGGGTGGGTCTCCGGGAGCGGGTTTGCTGCCGGGTTGCCGAGAAGGCGGGCGCGCGGTGGATCAGTCCCGAGCGCCAGCCGATCTCTCGGGACCGGGCCCTCGCGTCCCTCTCCCCGTTGCAGGGCTGCCCCGCCGCCATGGTGCACGCCTTCCTGGTCCACAGCCTGCGCGGCCGCCCCGGGGACGAGGCGGGCCACTGCCGGGTGCTCTATTCGAGGGTCTTCGCTCCGGAGGCGTCGCAGGACGCCCGCCGCCAGGATCGGGAGAAGGAGCGGCTGCGCCGGAAGGAGCAGATCCTGGCGGTGGCCAGGTGAGGAGCCTGCGCGCCCCCGGCTTAGCGCAGGGCCTGTGAGTCCACGTGGGTGCGGAGGTTTCCTGGGATCTGTGGACTGGCTTAGTTGGAGGGCACCCTGTCCCAGCTGGTGGTGGCAGGACCCGGATTCTTCTTTCCTGGCTGCCACAAGCGGCGTGGAAAAAAGCCCCCCCCCCCCCCAGACTCTCAGGCTTTGCAGGGGAAGGGAATGCCCACGTGGAATGCCAGACTCCTGGAATTTCAGTCTACACGCCCTCTTGGTCGTGACTTCACACATAGATGGTAAACGAAAGAGAGGGGGAATTGCTTCATCCTCATCCAGAATTTGCGGAGGCAGAATTTAACTTTTGATTGTTTTACTTGGGGTGTTTTGAACAAGTTTCTAGTCCTCCTGGTTATGTGTTGAGGCTGAAAACCGATGTCATTTGCAAGCACTCCGAATGCACCTTCTGTCGTGGGGTGGCCCCACCCACTTGCTCCACTCAGCACCCACAGCCGCGCTTCCTCCCTTTTGCCTCCTCTAACTTCGTTACTTCTCTCTTACTGCCATTCTGCTCCTTTGTAAAACGGAAGGACATTTTTTGTGAAGGACATTCCGAATCAGGACATGTAGTCCTGTTTTGCAAAGTAAGTGTGGAAAAAGTGTCCCAAGTGATAAGATTGGCTTCCTAAAGCAGTCGAGCCCTTGGGCTGAAGGAGGTGAGAGATCCCACTGCACAATTTTAAATGTGCAGCTGGATTGAGAAGGGGAAAGCCAGGTGGTTGCAATTCCTTCCTTTTTTCTGCTCCTGCCGGAGGAAGCAAGAGTCCAGTTGTTGCACAGGAGTAAGTTGGGTAGGAGAGCTGAGGAAGCGATGCCTGGTGCCGACAGCCACCCAGGATCAGAGAGTTGGGGGTCACCTAGTCCAGCCCCTGCCCTGCACAGGCTCCGCATGCAGACTTTTCCCACAGAGCCCCACCCTCTGCTTAAAACTTCCGGAGAAGGGGAGCTGGCACTTCCCGATCTGTTCCGCTGCTGAGCGGCACTCGCTGCTGGAAGGGAGGCCGAGATCAGCTTCCTGCCGTCCCCCCGTTGGCGCCCCTCTTGCCCTCTGGGTGTCCCTTCGTCTCCTCCAGGTTCATCCAATCCAGCCCTTCGACTGCTCCTCGCTGCGCTTGGCTCTCAGCCTCCCGCTCGCTCCTCTCTGCACGCTTGCCAACGCTCTCCTTCAAATCACGCGCTACAGACCGGACCCGGGTCTTCCGGCGTGGTCTGACGATGCAGAAGCGAGCAGAGCTCTTACTTCCGAGGCCTGGACGCTTTGCTTCGGAAGATCACATTAGTTTTCTGAGCTGCTGCGTCACACGGCTGGCTCACCTCCAGCCTGTGGGCCACTAAGACGAACGAACGGGTGCCGTGCCCGCTCTCACCCATCCTGGGCACGCACTTTCGATTTTTTGTACCGAAGGTCAAACACGCACGTCCTGCCTTGGCCTGCCTGCAGACCTGCAAGGGCTCTGCTCAAGCTTATTCCAGAACACGCGTGTTAGTCTTGGTTTTGCCCGCCTGGCTGTGTGCCTCCAGGCTGCCGGGCGGAAGACATCTTCCCGGCCCACCTGGTGGGATCCCGCCCTGGGTCTCGCTGGGCGCCAGCCGCGCGTCCTGCTCCGGGCGCCCCATCCCTCCCCCCACTGCTGCCGGAAGAGAGTTTGCGGAGGATGCCTGTGTGCCTCGACCGACCGACCGGCTGCCTCAGTGCCGCCTCCCTCTCCTCCCAGGCAGGTGGAGTCCGTGTGCAGGCTGTCGCAGCAGGCCTCAGGGAGGCCGCCCTCGGAGCACCTGCTCCAGCTGCCGGAGGAGCCCCCGTCGCCGCAGGACGCCCCCGCGGGGGTCTTCCGCCTCGCCGCAGGGGACCCCTTCCCAGAGGACAAGGCCGTGCTGTGGCTGGGCGTCCAGTGCCTGGCCTTCGCCCTGGTCTGCGACCCCCACGAGAACCTGGCGCTGGCCGAGGGCACCCTGCGCCTGCTCGCCAGGGCCCTCCTGGAGCACCTGAAGCCGCCGAGCGCGGCGAGCGAGCTGCTGCTGAAGGCCGACCGGGCCGAGGCCGTGCTGGGCAAGCTCCTGCCGCAGGGGCAGCTGCTCTTCCTGAACGACCAGTTCGTGCTGGGGCTGGAGCGGGAGCTGAGCGCCTCGCTCTGCAAATAAAGGGGCGCCGAGCGGACCGTGGCTGCTCGCTGGGCTTCTGTGCGGGGGGCGGGCAGCGGCCGGGCGGGGGCAGCAGGAGGGCAGCCAGCCAGCGCCGCACCGGCTCAGCCGCGGGCCGGGTCCCCGCCTCGTCTCTGGCGTGCGCCGTGCCGGTCCGGCGCTGGCTGGCGGGAACCTGGTCGGCATTTCCACAGCGCTGCAGGACTGTCCCGGACGCCTGCCCACGCGATCCCGTCTGCTCAGCAAGGGCCCTGTGCACGGGGTTCCTGGTGCCTCGGGTCCGTCCGTGGCCCCTGTGAGGCACCCACTCCCTGCATCCCTAGAGGCGTGCTTTTAATGTTGAAACGGGAGCTTGGGGGTCTGAGGTCCTCCCCGCTGTTCCTGAACCTGCCATCGATCAGCTGTGGAGAGGAGAGGAGAGAGAAAGTCCAGCCATGCAGACCGTCCCTTTCTCCCCCCCCCCCC